CCCTGATCAAACACAACTGAACCAACTAATTAGGATCTGAAGGAGCACTTGATAATTACAGACAGGTGTGTTTGATCAGGGTTGGAACTGAACTCTGCAGGAAGGGTGATCTACAGGAACAGGGTTGGGCACCCCTGATCTAAACCATCTAAAGAGCTAAGGTGACTCATATCCAATCCGGTCGTGGTAATTCTTGGTGGTTGTGGAAGCGTACAGTCTCTTATCTTCAGACCGAGGCTTTCATCACCTCCGCAGAACCGCGTTCTTCGCTTGTGTAAGGTCCACACACTCTGGCCCAAGGAAGGTATCCAGTGGTGGATGAAGGTCACTTGCGTGTTCGGTCTTTTCAGCGCGCAGAGTTATTCAATTTAGGTTTAACTCAATCTGACTCCATTTTATTATCTCATCTGACAAAGGCACTGATGCTTATGTGAGAGAGGCGTGTCCTGCACCACCCCTCTGTGGGGTGTCTTGAAGGTGCCAGTGTATTGTCTGTTTCTCAGGAGATCAAAGTATCTGAGTTTCTTTTATCCTTACACTTGTGTTCGTCGTTCATGGCAGGTCTGCTTATCCTGATAACGTGAAACTTCCTCCTGCCAAACAAGGCAACAAAATATAACAAGTCTGAAACAAAAATCAAACCCAAATAGTGAGACGGAGGAAGGAACGGGAATAATATTTTGTGAACATCGTTGAAAACAGTGGAATGAATCGGTTGGATTGAACAAGAATCACTCAGCTGATCAAGCTGCCAAAAAGTTCATAAAATGCACCATAAAAGCAGTTCATACAACTCGTACAATATATTCAGAATCTTTTCAAGGCATTTGATAGCTTTCAAAGAGAAACAGACTGAAATAAAGCTATAATTTGCTTCTAAGTTGTTGACTCAAGAACTGCTGCAACTGAATCAATGCGTTTAACCTGAAAACTGGAGCAGAAAACAACTCATTATTTTATGATCTTTAGATTGAATTATTTGTTCATGAATTAAACAACAGGTTTTTGAATGAAAGCAGTCCATACGACTCATGCCCTATATTTATATAAGTCTTCTGAAATCATACGACTGAAATTTAAGTTATAATTTGTTCATAATCTTCCCCTCCACTTGAGAATCGATGCAAATGACTCAATGAGTTGAAACAGAGAACAGAAGCAGTGAGCAAATCTTTTATTTTGAGCCAGTTCTGCAATGAAAGCTGTTTGAGCTAGTTCACAAATTGGATTTAATGAATCACTGATGAGTTGAGTTGACCTGATTTGTTCTAGAATTAAAGTTCAACTTACTAACTCTCTGAACAAACAGGCTCTTGCATGAAAGTAGTCCATACAACTCATGTGCTATATTTTGAGTCTTCTGAAGTCATATTACAGCTTTGTACGAGGAAGGGACCAAAATTTTAGTTGTTATTTGCTGAGAAAAAAAAATATATATCACCCTCCAGTACGGGTGTGCGATATTGACAAAAAATTATATCTCGATATTTTATGGGATTTTATCGATAACGATAATTAGACGATATTTTGCTGAGTGTGTTATTGTGCTGGTACCTTAAGGACTGCCGAAGACAGCTGACTCCTAATGTTTTTAATATTCTTCATATTCTGTGTGGTGGTCAGTTCATACTGATAGAAATTAATCTTTTCCAATAAGTTTAAACTGATTTTTGCATTTTATGGGCATTTTTACCTTTATAAAGCCATTTTTTCTAAAAGTGTCCATTATCTTTTGAGTCAAATTCTTACATTTAATCAGGGAATTAGAATAAGACATTTGGGCTGTTACCGAGCAAATGAAATCAACACTGAAGCTGCATCTGAAGTGGCATTTAGATGTATTTACACACATGTATTTTGTTTAATGCAAGACATGAATGCATTTAACCTGCAATTACAAATGCATAAATAATGTTTTGATATATTAAACATAAAACGTTGAATACTGATATTTGAAATGATTTAAAACATGAAAAAAATCAAAAAAAAGAAAAGAAAAGAAAGAAAAAGCCGAAATTTGAAATTAAAACTGCCAGCAGGTGGCAGCAAATCACTGTTAATAAGTGAGTCATTGCGATTGAACCGAATCATTTAAACGGTTGATTCATTCAAGAACGAAACACCGTCATGTTGCTCAGAGACACAAAACAGCGCTGTGGCTGTATTCGGAATGATTTTTGTTGGCGAAATAGAGCAAAAACAAGCAATATGGTGTCTAAAACGTAAGTCTCTTAATTAACTTATTGTTTATTGAATTTAATGTCACATTTGTAATCATGGTAATTTTTGGAGAAAAACGGCACTCTTCGTGTGAAATTGAATAACTATATGAAGTGGTATAAATATATAAATTTTGTCTTGAATTTGTGATCATTCTAAATTCATTTTAATAGACTGAATCATGCAGTGAAAGAAAACACACTAAATGCGCACACGCACTAGTCTAGACTTCGCGTAATGTATGCGTGCGCTCTGTAGGGATGTTTTGAATGGTTTTTGCAAAATACTCGATAATGTCAAATCGCACATCGTTAAAACAACAATTACGATATTATCGCAGACGATATATATCGCACACCCCTACCCTCCAGTGAGCTACAAACTTACACTGCAAATGACTCAAATGAATCAATGAGTTGAACTAGAAAACAGAAGCTGTGAACAAACTATTGCTTTGAGCTGGTTCTTATGAATAAAAGGGAATGATCTTGATCTAGTTCACAAAGTGGACTGAGTAATTAGTTAATGAATCAATATGATTTGTTTATGAATTATTTCAACTCACTGACTCACTAAACAGATTCTTGAATTAACAGCTGACTGAAGAGGAAGATTGTTAGCGAATAATGACTTCAATTTTGATTTGTTAATCACACAATGCGATCATACACCTTGAAATACAGTGCAAGAGTTGTATAGACTACTTTCATAAAGCATTTCGTGCCAAGATTACAAGGAAAAAGACCTGTGTCTATTAGCCTATCTATAATATCACATTTTTTTATCTAATATATCCAGTGGTTGGTTCCACAGAAAAAAGAAAGCCATACAGGTTTGGCACGACATATAAAGGGGAGTAAATTAAGATAATTAAACATTTTCTGGTGAACTCTCCCTGCAGTGTTGTTCTGCCATATTTCATAGTATTTAAGCAGTGATAAAGGCATTGCATTATATAAATATACTTTATTTGAATGAAAAATATAATAAGAAGAACTCATATAAACCGTATATTGTCGTAGTTGTGTGTTTATTAGTCCCGTTGAATCAATGAAAGCAGTTGAATCTTCTGTTTATTCAGCTGCAGTGATAGGCATTTTCTGGGTTTCTTCTGCGAGGCGTATTTGGAGTTTCAGCGCGAGAGCGCACTCTGGCCTTTGGATGGAGATTTACTGCTGATCACAGAACCGTGCTTCACTGAAAGATACGCATGACAATCGCAGCTTCTGTCGAATTCGCGATCTCGATTCCATTTCGATTTATCGTGCAGCCCTACTTGCGTCTCATTCTTACACTTCTCTCTCTGCACTCATGAGTTCAGTCTTCTGCTTGCATTCATGTGAGAGCACCAATTCAGTTAGGCCTAAATAACATTAACCATTCTTCCGTTATAACTCTCAACATACCAATAACACACACACAAACCATCCCACCATCAGCTACAACAGAAAACCAGCATCTTGTAATCAGGAAGCGGACATTAAACAGTATCCTCTTAACAACAGAAAGGAATCCATACGATCTAGTACCAGTGAATGACTAAATAACAACCAGCAGCGAATAATAAATGACACGGTTCTCTTACGTCCCATTAGATTAAACAATTACCAGGCTCATTAATGTAGGAAGCAGCAACAGACTTCCTGTCTAAGGATGGGAATTTGTCATTCAGTACCGTAATTGTTGGAACAGATCCCTTAAAGCTAAATGGAGTTGAGATCCCATAGGACGGGGACATGAGGGTTTGACGTCAACCCTGTCTATGGCCTTCACAAAGAGTCTGGAGGAGACAAACACTGAGGCGGAGTATATAAACACTACAGACAATACAGTATGTAGATCAGTCCAGTCCTGTGAGCTCCAGGCAGCACCTTATGAAATGCATTAGCACAAACAATAATGTCACGTAGAAGCCAGAGTGAGCCAGGTTTCACTAATACTGATGTGATATCTGCATCAAAAGGAATATATTGTGCTCTGATATTACGACATACTGACCCCTGGAGGAGGAGGAGGAGGGCAGCAACAAACAACGACATGAGATTGCAAGACAACACAAGATTAAAAATGCTGAACCACCAGAGAATCATGGGATTTTTTTTAGCAATATATTTTTTTCTTTTCTAAAAATTTAATTAAATATATTATATTATAATATATCATTTTTCTTTGCATTTTATAATTTTTGCTACAATTTTTTTCTTTTTAAAAACTAATTTTTCCTTTAAAACTATTTCTCCATATACAGTATACAAAAACATTCTAAAGAAATAAGTACATTATATACATTCTATCTGTATAGCGAAAGAAAAATATTAAATATTAAATATCAAATTAATTATTATGCACATTTAATAAATATTATTAGCCGATATATCTCCAGTTTTGCTAGAAATATTTAATATTTAAATAAAATGGTGTGTGTATCTATTTATCCACCTATAGCCTTATTTATCCTCTGCTAAATGCAGATGTGCTATATATAAATAATGTAACTCCTCCATTCATTCATAAACATACTTTTGCGGGAAATATTTAACCTGTATATCAAATGTAATATGAGTGTGCATTATACAGGTCTAAAAATTTAACTCCATAATAGACACTTTTGCTACAAAACAGTAGTTTATTACATTCTTACGCAAAGCTATCACACAAGGCATGTTTGCAAAATCAACAAAACTCTTCAAATCTATTATGTCAGCCAGGTAGACAATATCTTGGTGACAACTTCTGCATCAACCATGAAAAAGACAGAAAAGCAAATGAAGAGCTCAGATGCAAAAGCCTCTAAGTGCTGTCTGAAATTTTCTTCTAAAATTAGCATTTTTTCTCAGGCTTCTGTTTACGTTCAGTTATTTCACTTTAATGGCAATGAAAAGAACCTATTTATTGCCATTAAAGTGAAATTACTGAACCTACACATAGCAGCCTGATAAAAATGCTGAAATGTAAACTGACAAAACTGTAAATTGACCCAAAACTCTCTCACACTGGCCTTTAAGTAATAACTCTGTGAGGCTGCTTAATCTGCTCTCCATGCAAATATTACACAGGCAGTTGATCTCGCAAATGAAGCATAATAGTTCCAACCTAACAATATGTTTAATAACCCAAATTAGAAGTTCACAAAAAGGAGGCGTGTCTCATCAACCTACTATAGTATCACACAGGACAGGGCTTCACCTGACACCCAAACATGCACAAAAACATTCTACTTCATATGCTATGACTACACTTCTCACACAGGAACCACTGTGGAAAGTGAAAAGCATATTAATGAAGATCACGTGAGCGTGTGTTCGGGGGTTCTTACTTCTTGCAGTCGGCGCTGAAGAGGCTGAAGGCGGCCCCGCCGCCGCTGATGCTCGCGGGGATGCTGCTGTTCTCCTGCGCCGCGTCCACGCCGGACTCCACCGAGCCCTGCTCGTTATACGACACACTGTTGGCGGACATCCCGAGCATTTACCCCGATTCACACCGATCAATACAGCACCGCGACCTTATTAATCCTCCGATAAACGCAGACGAGCTTGAACGATGCTGCGTTTCTGATTTTCACGGAATGAATCGAAAGATAAAACTTTTTTCACTCCTGAGGTGCAACTTTTTTCCTCTTCCACGCAGAGTCGGAAGTGAGCTGGAGTTAAGTCACATGACCGTCACATGACAGCAGCGTGACGAACACCAAACACACACACATCTCCCTTTTTTTTTTAAAATTCTCATTCTCCATATATGATATTTTGGTAACACTTTATTTTAAGGATCAATTCTCACTGTTTACTAGTTGCTTATTAGCATGCGTATTACTAACATATTGGCTGTTTATTAGTAGGCCTACTTATATTCGAAGCATATATTAATGCCTTATTCTGCATGACCATATTTCATCCCTTAATCCTACCCCACACCTAAATTTAACAACTACCTTACTAACTATTAATAAGCAGCAAATTAGAAGTTTGTTCAGGGAAATCTCTTAGTTAATAGTGAATATGTGTTCCCTATTCTAAAGTGTTACTAATATTTTATACATTGTTATATGTTATCGTATTTTCCCCATGTAATTATACTCATGAATTATTAATTATGTTACAGCCCACAAACTTTCAAACTAAAAGAGAACTCTTTTTTTAGTTTTATTTATTAATAATCTTATTTAATCTCCAATCATCCACTCACAAACAACCAAACCTCAAACTATGCAACCCAATTTGGAAGATTTACCCAAATAACCATTTTATAAAAGCAATATTATATTTTATAATTTATATTACAAATTATACAACAAATAATCATGTATTATATTAATTTTTATTACGGCATTATTCTTTAAAAAGCAACATTTAAACGTAATTCTTAAATAAAAACATTTAAACAATGTAAATCTTGATACAAATGAACATTAACATTTTACATTAAGGACTCCATATCAAATAACACATTTTTACATAGAATTATATGAATGTGATTGAATGATTTTAAATAGTCATATTAATGTAAGTAATTATATGTAATTTAATAATATTCATATAATTTTTCAACAATAGACTAAACACACATCCTTCTTCTCTCTTGTTATAGCCTACAATTTGGATATTTTTCGTATTTGTATTCATAAATGATCAATTCATTTATTTTTGTATTTTTATCTCATGTTATTATTCTCATTAATTATTCATTAGGTTATGGCCCCCGAACTTTACAACTATAAGAGAACTCTTTCTGTTTATATTTATTAATAATATTTTTTTATGATCCTAATTAATAATTAAATATAGCCGCCAAACGTCCTCTCTCACTCTTTGTATTTTTATATTTTTCTTTATTAATTATTTAACGGAGCCAACCGTCCTCTCTCTCTCTTTGTATTTTTATATTTTTCTTTATTAATTATTTAACGGAGCATTAAACTGTCTTTAATGGGGGGGTGTAACATTTTGTCAGCCCCTTACAAAAAGTACTGTGTGTGATGGTTATTATGATATAATGATGTATCAGATGGCAATACCGTGCTACCTTTGATAGAATTTAATATATAATAAATAAATTATATATTAATAAATTATGTATAATGTGTGAGTGTTATGGTAATACGTTATTTTTTCCATTTGAAGTGCCTGAAACCCATAGCGATTCTCATAATAACCAGCAGATGGCGACAAATCCTGTTTAAAAATAGTATTAGTACGTGTCCTGTTTTTGTCACGTGCTGCTGCTTTGTTTTACTAAATATATCTAGTCTATATCTAGCCATTTCACTTTTTATATACTATTTGAATAAAAACGTGACTTTTCTAGCTTTCTATTTGCAACAAAACCCTCACAAGCTCAATCACTTCTTAACTTCACCTCTTTCTTTTCTCCAGACTTCCACATGTCTGACCCTTTCTTTTCTCCTCACCTCCATAAATGACCCTAAAGTCACCTTTACTTTGTAAAGCTTATGGAGAGGTGAAGAGTTACTCTGTAAAGCGGAGCAATCCGATGATTGTTGACCAGAGCTGTAGCGTCTCATTGTAAGACACGCACCTTCAGGGCTCTGAACATCTGAAACAGGTACGGCTGGTTTGAGGATCGTTTTATCTTCTAATGTTTATAGAGGTCTGACGGCCTCAGGGTCAGTTGACAGACACGTTCACAGTGTTTAAGGGAAGACAGCACTGAGCTCCAGAACCACTGTGGCGCATTATGACATCATAGATTACTTCAGAATAATTACTGCTGACCATAAAATATCTGAGGTTTGAGGGTTCACAGAGACACACACATTTAGAGAAGGGGAAAATATGCCTTTATTACCCAAAACACAACACAGCAGATCCGATTGTTAATGCCTGTGGCACACACACACACAAAAACCTTTTTTTTTTTATGCCTTTATTACCCAAAACACAACACAGCAGATCCGATTGTTAATGCCTGTGGCACACACACACACACACACACAAAAACCTTTTTTTTTAAAAATCCCACACACAAACAAACCTCAAACCTGTACAATAAAGCCGATTCCTGTCAGAAATAGCAAACAAAACTGCCCCGTTTGGCAGATTTACCCAAATAACCATTTTTTGAAAGTATATATACATTTATACATTCATTCATATTTTTTATATAAATATAAAAAAACAGTCTAAATGTAATTCTTAAAATCTTTATCTCAATATCAACACTAAAGAACCAAATGAACCATGATAAAACGACAAATGCACATTTAAAAAATATATATGCATACAATAAGAAATATTCCAAAAATATTTTATTGTACAATATTTTCTTCACATTATAATCTGCATATAATCTATTTAAAACATTTCTTCCTCATTTCATCTGCTATTAATCAACAAACGATGAAGACATTTATTACCATTTTCAAGCTGCACAAATCAGACCAAATGTCTGTTCTTACAGCGAAAGCACTTCCCTCTCAATGTTTATAAAGGACTTTCAGTTTATTTGTAATGAATTATGATAATCTGGATAGTGAATTATGAAAATACACTGACTTGAAGCAAAGTCTAAATATGTAATTCATTCATACACTGATTTCCCTGAAGAGTGTAAACATCATGAATCTGTTCTGTCTGTTTGAGCCAGTGGGGTCCATATTACCTGTAGTATTATTATTATTATTATTATTATTATAAAACAATCCATCACTAGTGAAACATCTACTAGAACTTAATGAAATATTAACAATATAACAGTTGAACACTTAAACATGAATTATTCTCTCACCGTTTTTGATTTGGAAACATTCTCTCCACAGGGTAACAGAGATATGTTTTTCATCATAGATAGAACGGTATAAAGAAACACACGAGATAGAGAGAGATGGATTGAGTTTTTCTCTGGAAGAAACAGGAAACTGAGATGCCATTTCCTGATATTCCCGTCTTCAGCTGAGCTGGAAATATAAACATGTTGAACATGTTTTTGTTCCTTTTCTCTTTCCCTTCATTTTGTTCCTTTCCGAAAGTAGGTTTTTTTTTTCTTCCAGAAAACAAGTGAAAGATGATTTCCTGTTGTCAAAGACATGAAGAACTCTGAAGGTTTTGAAAAAATGAAACAAATTCAATAAGCAAATTCTAAAACATGCAACATGTGAGTGATATTTCAGATTTGATGTGAGTTAAAAGTTTAAAAGTCTTGTTTTTGTGCAGAACAGGCCTTGGATTGATACGTAAGGATCAGATCAGTGTGTGTGTGTGTGTGAGTGTGTGTGTGAGTGTGTGTGCATATATATATATATACCTGAAAGGTATTTGACATTTATTAAGCTAATTTTGCAATATATTTTGGCATTAGACGGTTAAACAATGTAAATGTTTAATTAGGAAAATATATTTCCTACACTGTGTTGTTTGTAACATACATTTAGCATATGAAATATTTTGGACAGAAAAATATTAAATATATTTCTTCTGCTGTATGCGTATCTAAAGTAGATCTAGCCTATATACAGATGTTGTTTCTCTTTTGACGGCCGTTCAAAAATAGTAAAAGCAAAAATATTAACTGTGAATATTTAATGTTATAGTAGATGGGTCACCAGTGCCAATTTATTCATTTATTTATGTTTATTATTATTTATGTACTGTATGTTGCAATTTTCTTCCAATAGGGGGTGTAGTTAATTTATTTATCTATATAGGTATTTATAGATCATCATATTTATTTAAACATTTATTTTATTTATTTA